TCCATCAATACGAGCACGCCCCTGCCACCACCCCGCCCACCGCCCACCTCCACGCCTCGCACACCTCTGGGCGCTACTGCGTGCTCTCTCCACGTACACAATACACACCTCCCCTCCTCCATCAGTTGTTGTCCAGCACACACATAAAGCTGCTCAGCTCCCGCCTCCTTACCACTGGCTTTGCCTTGCTCATTCTCTCTCGATCCAACTATCCGTCTCTCTCGCTCTTCTTGATACCCCTCACCGCCGCCTCTAAAGACCTGTATCCCCGCCTAGGTCTCTCTCTGCGAATTGGTCTTTACGTCTCTTTTTTAGGTCTTCTTTTGCGCTGAAATCAACATGTGGTATGTCTACCTCTCTCCCCCAACTCTCCCCCGCTCTCCTGAAAGCTTGCCCGCAGCCTCCCCCCTCCATCCAGCTTTTGCCAGCTGAAAAGGGGCCCAGGCATACGCCTTGAAAGCCATTGGCAACACAGTAAGCAGTAAGCTGACAGGAAATTCTTCCCAACAGTGGCATTTTCGGCTACGTCAACTACCTGGTGGAGAAGGACCGCAAGTTCATCCTCGAGACTCTAATCAACGGTGAGTACACCGCCTCCTGAAAGCTCCAATTGGAGCCATGCAGCTCCACCAGCTCATCCCGAGGGGCTGTTCTTGACTAACGAGCCATCTGTTCTCTTCTCTAGGTCTGTCGCGTCTCGAGTACCGTGGCTACGACTCCGCTGGTCTGGCTGTTGATGGCGACAAGAAGAACGAGGTTTTCGCCTTCAAGGAGGTTGGCAAGGTCGCCAAGCTCAAGCAGCTCATCGCCGAGTCCAAGGTCGACGAGACCAAGTACTTCGATTCACATGCCGGTATCGCCCACACTCGCTGGGCTACCCACGGTCCCCCTTCTCGTCTGAACTGCCACCCCCACAGGTACGTGTGCACTTTTCGCGAGGATACTAGCAAACTTTCCACTTCAGCCTCCTTGCTATCAATGACTCAGTGGCTAATGATCCTTCTCCTGCAGGTCCGATCCTACCTGGGAGTTCACCGTTGTCCACAATGGTATCATCACCAACTACAAGGAACTCAAGACCCTCCTGAGCGCCAAGGGCTTCAAGTTCGAGACCGACACCGACACCGAGTGCATTGCTAAGCTCGCCAAGTACCTCTACGACCAGCACCCCAAGGTCGGCTTCACCGACCTGGCCAAGGCTGTCATTAACGAGCTCGAGGGCGCCTACGGTCTTCTGATCAAGTCCGTCCACTACCCCCATGAGGTCATCGCTGCCCGTAAGGGCTCTCCTCTCGTCATTGGCGTCAAGACCCAGAAGCGCATGAAGGTCGACTTTGTCGATGTCGAGTACGCCGATGAGCAGGCTGCCCTCCCGGCTGAGACCGCATCCCAGAACATTGCCCTCAAGAAGCAGCAGGACAACTTCTTGAACCCCAACGCTCTGCTGGGCGCTCCTGACAAGTCTCTCCTCCACCGCTCTCAGTCGCGTGCTTTCATGACCGACGATGGCATGCCCATGCCCACCGAGTTCTTCCTGTCCTCGGACCCCTCCGCTATTGTCGAGCACACCAAGAAGGTCATGTACCTCGAGGACGACGACATTGCCCACATCCACGAGGGATCCCTGAACATCCACCGCCTTAAGAAGGCCGATGGCAGCTCCAACGTGCGCACCATTCAGACCCTTGAGCTTGAGCTCCAGGAGATCATGAAGGGCAAGTTCGACCACTTCATGCAGAAGGAGATTTTCGAGCAGCCTGAGTCCGTTGTCAACACCATGAGAGGTCGTCTCGACAGCGAGAACAAGACGGTTACGCTTGGTGGTCTCCGCTCTTACATCTCCACCATCCGCAGATGTCGCAGAATCATCTTCATTGCTTGCGGTACGAGTTATCACTCATGCATGGCTGTTCGCGGTGTATTTGAGGAGCTCGCCGAGATCCCCATCGCTGTCGAGTTGGCATCCGACTTCCTCGACAGACAAGCCCCTGTCTTCCGTGACGACACCTGTGTCTTCGTCTCCCAGTCTGGTGAGACTGCCGACTCTCTCATGGCCCTCCGCTACTGCTTGGAGCGTGGTGCTCTGACCGTCGGTATCGTCAACGTTGTCGGCTCCTCCATCTCTCTCCTCACCCACTGCGGTGTCCACGTCAACGCCGGCCCTGAGATCGGTGTTGCGTCTACCAAGGCCTACACCTCCCAGTTCATCGCCATGGTCATGTTCGCGCTCTCCCTTAGTGAGGACCGCGCGTCCAAGCAGAGACGTCGTGAGGAGATCATGGAGGGTCTGGCCAAGATTCCCGAGCAGATCAAGGACATCCTCACCCAGGACCAGTCTATCAAGGAGCTCTGCTCCAAGACCTTCCAGAACCAGAAGTCCCTGCTTTTGCTCGGCCGTGGCAGCCAGTTCTCTACCGCTCTTGAGGGTGCGCTGAAGATCAAGGAAATTTCCTACCTTCACTGCGAGGCTGTCATGTCTGGTGAGCTGAAGCACGGCGTCCTGGCTCTCGTCGATGAGAACTTGCCCATCATCATGATTCTCACCCGTGACGACCTCTTCAAGAAGTCGCTCAACGCCTACCAGCAAGGTAAGTTTGGAAACATTCGCATGCATTCATGTTCTGTCACTAACTCTCAATAGTCATTGCTCGTAGCGGTAAGCCCATCGTCATCTGCAACCCTGCCGATGAGGAGTTCAAGTCCAGCGAGGCCGAGAAGATTGAGATCCCCAAGACCGTCGACGTCCTTCAGGGTATTCTCAACGTCGTTCCTCTGCAGCTGATCGCCTACTGGCTCGCTGTTATGGAAGGCCTTAACGTCGACTTCCCTCGCAACTTGGCCAAGTCTGTTACCGTCGAGTAAACAGGTTTTCAGCAGCGAACGAGGTTGAATATTTTCTTGTGAGGTGCTTCTCGCCATTGGAGTTGGGTTGCCAAAAGGGAGGCTGGCCCTTGGCTTAATGACACAGTGGGCCACGAACAGATGAAAGCCCTCGGATGTATTACTGGATTTTGTGTGAAAAGGAGGGAATGGTCCTGCATGGTAGATTTAGGGCCTGTCAAGATAAAGGAGCGTATGTTTAAAAAGGTTAAATGCCAGAGAAGAGGCAACCTAAAGCAATCAATGAAAGCAATATTGTCTATTTCATTTCGTGTTGTTACACTCTCGTGCCCCGCGACCGATCGTATTGCGGATGACACGTAGAAGGAAGTCGATCTCGGACTTGCTTCTTCTGCTGCTCTCCAGAGTCGCCGTTAGTCATCCCGGATGGCGAGTCGAAAGCAACTGTCCCATTTAACCAGTAACTGTCATTTAATTCCTCTATCCCATCATATCCTCCAGGAACTCCTTTCTCTCCTCCTTAAACAACCTGCGTGCCGTAGCCACGGATCCGTTCCGCGAACTTCCAGCTCTGCTTCTCCAGCTTCTCGTTCTCCTTGAGGTCAACACCATCCTTGGTGACAACGGCAATGGAGTACGAATCCAAACTGCGGGCGTCGCGATAGAAGAGCACCTTCATGCATTCCTTGATAACCTCTATGGCCTTCTCCTTGGTCAGATTGGCAGCTGCCTCATCGTCGGGGACATAGCGGCGCATGATGGGCTGTGCCAGAGCAGAACCGAAACCGGTGGCCAATGAGGGGGAGGTGAATGTGGTGCCGAGGAGGTCGGCCGCGGCAAGAAACGGCTTGCCTGCGTCGTCCAAGCCGGCGACGAGGAGATGGTTCCAGAGGGGGTCGAAGTCGGAACGGCGCTTGTACATCAGCTTGGAGAGGTACTTGTGCAGGTTTGCAGCGTTGAGGCGGGGGGCTTGATCGGTGGACAGGTCGTAGGACTCCTCAATGTCGAGGGACTGGAGGTGGCGGTCGAGGAACTGCATGTCGGAGACGTCGCCGCCAAAACCGACAACGGTAGAGTCGGCAAACTTGCGCAGACGCTTGACATCGGTGAATCGAGCAAGGGAGCCGTAGGATGCTGTCATTGGGGTTTGATTGTCAGTATTCGACCGTCTTTGAGGTGCTAGGCTGTTGGAATGGTGAGAACGGGCGTACCCAAGTTATCGGCGGCGATGACGACACCCTCTTTGAACTTGATAGCAATGACTGATGTGCCCGTGACGATGGGGGCTTGTGTCGCTTGGTTGGGGCCGTTGGGGTTCATGTAGGAGGCATTGTAGGCTCCGTAGACGTCGTCTCTAGGCTGTGGGAGGGGTTCAGTCTGTTAGTCCATGACGAGAGGCTGAGGGCAGAGGGAGGTTGCATACCCGGCCCCAAGCTTGCGGTCTGTGATCCATGGTTATCGATGGTATCTGGTTGAAGAGGGAAGGGAGGTCGAGTTCGCGGTAATGGGTGTCGGTATCGTCGGTGGAGGGAAGGGTGGCAGAGGGTTTGGTGATGGTCGTCGGTATGTAGATGTAGCTGGGGGTTGCTGTGCTTAGCTTCGCGTCCCGTGGATGCCTCTGCCGCCGGCTGCCAGGTGCTGGTGGTGCTTGCTGGGCCGCTGCGTCAGGGTGGTGCCTGACAAACGGGGCTGCAATTTGAGGTGGGCTTACCGAAAATGGTCAGCTTGGAGCTGGAGTGGTGGGAAGATCGGAGAAGTAGATGCTACTTCATTCTCAGTGTCGCAATCCACGATTGGAAGGTATTCACTACAGACAGCTCCAGGGGTCAAGGTAAAACAAACAAGGAGGCCGGCCAAGGTCAGGTCGCATGCTCTCAGTCCCTCCTCGCCCGTCATTCCGTCAACACCACAGACGGCACTTGCAGCAGCGAAATCTCCCCTACTGCTCCGTCGCCCTACAATTGGCTTGTTCCTGTCTCCGGGACATCGCTTGGGACACAGCCATCCATACCTCTGTCCCTCCCTCCCCCCCATCCTTTCATCAGCCCTATCGCGGGCTTCCCAACTACATCTGCACAAAACATCCCCGATAACAGCTTAGCTGTGCCCACACAACAGACAAATACCCCACCTTCAGCAAACTTGATTGCGCGCACATCATGTTGACAGCAATCGGTCGCGCAGCGGCCCAGCGCCTGGTCATTCGCGCCGCGCCATTGACCGCCTCCCGAGCCGTCCCACGCGTCGCATGCCGGGCCTTCTCGACCACCAAGTCGGCGCATCTCCCAGCCAAAGCTGCCGCCGCCTCGTCCACCAAGACGAAGGCTAAGAAGACGACGACGACAGCCGCGAAGAAGAAGCCCGTTGCGAAGAAACCGGCAGCGAAGAAGCCCGCGGCCAAGACGAAGAAGGTTGCTGCGAAGAAGCCCGCGAAGACTAAGACGGGCCAGGGTCGCGGTCGCCCCCGCAGAGCCCCGACACCCGAGGAGAAGCTTAAGGTCCTGAAGAAGGAGTTGAAGCAGGTCGCTCTGCTTGCCAGCGAACCCTCAAACAAGGTCACGTCCGCATGGATGGTGTATCAGACAGAGAGGTTGAGGGCGGAGACAATTGCCAGGGAAGCATTTGGGGATCGGATTACAGCTTTTGCGGAAGATTTTAAGAACCTTTCTACTCACGAGCTCCAGGTAAGCTTGTCTGTCGGCCAGAGTTGTCCTAGGCCAGGGAACGACCGTCACATGAGGATGTTATGGCTAACAAGTTAATATAGCGCCTCCAAGAGACGGCCGAGGCGAACAAGCTCAAGAACAACGCCGCGTACAAAGCTTGGGTTGAATCCCACACGCCGCTGGAAATCAACAATGCCAACAACGCGCGTAAGCGCCTTCGCGCATTGAGCCCCAAGGAGGATGGAAAGCGCCAGGTCAAACCGAGATCAATTGTTGACGAGCGCTTGCCCAACCGCCCAACGTCAGCCTTCTTGTTCTTTGTCAAGGCGCGTTGGGCCCAAGGTGACCTTCCCTCGGCGATCGGACCGGCGACCAAGGCTATTGGTGAAGAGTGGAACAACCTCACAGAGGCCGAGAAGGCCCCGTACCTGGCGTTGGCAAAATCCGACATGGAACGATATGAGCGAGACGTCAGCAACGTCCTGGGACGTGAGGTCGAACATCGCACTCGCACTTGAGCTCCGTCGGCGCTAGTCTTGGTTTGCCGGCGGCAGGCGAGGTATCCTTGCTCCAAAAGATGCGTTTGTGTGTAGAGATATATCTCCGCGTATTGGGACATCCGATGAAAACTTCTACGGGGCATGTTGCGAGCAAAATCGTGTGCAATGAACAAACAGGAGAGCTGTGTCAGCAAAACCTGCTACTTTTATGAGCACGCGGGTTCCATGATGGCACTATTACCAGTTCGATCATCAACGGGCAGGATGACGGTGCGGTGTTGAGTTTCAGATACCAATATTGAGAGGTTTCGCAACCAGTCTTGTAATGAGATTTCTCCGTGTATACATTTATCCAGCGACGCCTCTGCCAATGCCATTTGCACCACAACAGTGACGCCATTCGTTTCCAGTCCGACTCTGTGCCGCCCAACCGAAAGTCAAGAAACGCCTCGCTAGCCCAGTGAAAGAAAGTGCTGCCAAAAACGCCCTTGAAACTGTCCCCCCTACTCGTCCGCCCCGTCCTCCATGCTGTCCCCTGACTCGGAGTTGCCATGCCCGTTGGTAACCAGAATCACCTCCCCGGCGCCGTCCACCCACCGAGCCGTGTCCGTCTTCAAAGCCCTCTCGCTGGCAAGGTAGAGCGCGAGGTACACATGCCCGGCGACATATCCCCAGCAGTAGACCCTCAGCCACGACCAGTCCTCGGCGCGCGTGCACCAGACACCCCACCCCGCGAACCCTTCGAGGATGTAGTCGGTCAGGAAGTGCCACGCCCGCTCGCGCAAGGTCGGTCGCCAGCCGGTCCAGTCGAGTGTCCAGTGGCCCCTCTCGAACGGCCGCAACTCCCTCATCTGCTCGACGGGCCGGAAGCGTTTGTCGATATTGAGCTGCCGCGCAAGTTCCCTAAGCTTGGGCGTCAGGAGGTCATCTGGAGTGAGTTCTGCGTTGCCAACAGGAGGCCCCTCGGGATGAATCTCGAGGCGTTCGAGGTAATTCAGGTGACGCTTGTTTGGTGGGCGTATGACGCTGTAGAGATCGTCCGGGATGACGGGCCCGGCTATGGAGGGGCTCCGCGTTGCTGATCTGGATTCTGATATTGGTGCTGAGCGCTTGTGGCGCTTTCGTGGAAGTGGTGAATCCAAGTTGCCGCGAGAGGGAGAGGATACTGATGGACGCTTGCCAGAGGCCTGGCATGGTGTTTCTTGAATCACCTGATCGAGGGGGGAGCTCTCAGGTAGAGGCCGTTTCCGCGCTGGGAAAGGAGTGTCTAGAATGACGTTTTCCGCCGGAGGGGATGGGTGCGGTGGAGGGACATCGCTGGCTGATGGTGGTTCGCTGGATGTAACTAGAACAACCTGCTCGTCGTCTTCTCCGTCATCTTCCACATCTTCCAGCTCCTTCTCTAGGCCTTGCGAGGATTGGGGAACTCGCCGCTGGCTTTGCGACGGGGTCTGTTGCGAGGCTACGGCTCCTTGACTCTCGAACTGACATGCCAAATGCTCAAAAAGCCGACTTGGAGACGAGAACTCGGCAAGGCTGATGTCGTTCGCTGGCTGAGAGTCCCCAATTACGCTTGGAGGAGCCACCCAACTAGACTGTGTAAACTGAGTCTCGGCGTCCGGCTGCGATGATGGGGGTATATCCTGTACTGCTCCGGCTCTACCAAGGATTGGGGAGTTTCTGTTGTCCAAAACACTCCTGAAAGAAAGTTGGACACTTCCAAATGAGGCCTCTGGTAGGATGTATTGCACTGGTGGTGATGACGGCAGTTGGGTTGCCTCGCTGCTTGGGATCGGTGCGTGAAAGGGTGTTGATGGTGAAGGTAATGGCTCACCCTGTGAGCCGGCTATGTCTGAATGCGCATCGCCTTGTAGAAACCCGTCTAATATCTTTGTCTGGCCTACTGGTTGAAAGTCAAGATACGCCTGCGCCAAGGCGCGATACCTGGCATCGTCAACAGCTTTGCACGGCGCTGCGACGTGCACTAAGATCTCGATGTTGCCATTCGTCTCCATGACGACCGCAGGCTTATGTGAGGTGCGCGCATCTCATGTAGAGTCGAGAGGAACAGAGATTCAATTTAGAGTAAGAATGTTTTATGACCCAAGGAGAAACGAAATTTGCCACAGTTCAAATTGAGACTTTTCGCATTGTGTGGTCGACCGCCAAGGTCCCAACACAGGACAGGTCTTGTCAAGAAATTGAGTTCCGTCACTTGAAGATGGGAAGTCGCGACTCGCGAGGTTCCCAAAGAGCATGGCAATCGTAAAGTCAGTGCGCTTTTCGAGGTGGGGCACCTAAATCAATGTCCCCTGCCCCTCAAGTCGCATTCAGAAACCGGGGGCCCAGCCTAAAATGCATTCCTAGCGCCGCTGAAGAGCTTGGTGACAGAAAGGTCGATTGTACCACAGGCCCCAACGGCCCCCTGCATGACGGACACGTACCCGGTACGCAGCTGTCAATCGAGTGCAACCAAACCACCAAACTTCAGATTGGCCCATTCGCGCGCGCGCCGCAAACCGTGCATTGCGTTACCTCGACCTTATTCCCAGCTCACCTCAGAGACCAGAGAAACCAATCCACCAACGGACGACTCTCGACACCATCTCCCCCTCCCGACCTTTGCTCGCACTTGGATGCAAGTCAGCTCCAAAGTCCCTCCCGAGACAAACCGCCCTCCCCAAAAAAGATGTCTTCCGAAAAGGCTCCTGTGCCAATCGACCTGGGCAAGGTCCTCGTCGTCGGCGGCAATGGCTTCCTGGGCCACCACGTCGTCAACCAGCTCCTGGCTGGCGACCGCTGGCAAACCAGCTCCGTCTCCGTAATCGACCTCCGCTGCGCGAACAACCGCAACCCAGCCGCCTCCTACCACGAAGCCGACATCACCGACACGGAAAAGATCAAGTCCATCTTCGAGGACGTCAAGCCCGACGTCGTCATCCACACCGCCTCGCCCGCGCCCCAGGCCGACGGCCCTGTCGCCAAGGACCTCTTCCGCCGCGTCAACATTGATGGCACCGCCAGCATCATCGCCGCCTGCCAGGCCGCCGGCGTCAAGGCCCTGGTCTACACCTCATCCGCCAGCATCATCAGCGACAACACCAGCGACCTGATCAACGCCGACGAGAGGTGGCCCGTCATCCGCGGCGAGCAACAGTCGGAGTACTACTCCGAGACCAAGGTATACATCCGCGCACAATGCTCTGTGACGAACTGCCCTCTTGCTGACACAAACAACCCTCTCTTCAGGCCGCCGCGGAAGAGCTCGTCCTCCAAGCAAACCGCCAAGACCCCTACCCCCTCCTTACAGCCGCCATCCGCCCCGCCGGCATCTTCGGCGAGGGCGACACCATGGCCACGCACCAGCTCGTCAAGATCTACCGCGAGGGCAAGACGGGCGTCCAGCTCGGCGACAATGACAACCTCTTCGACTTCACCTACGTCGGCAACGTGGCCCACGCCCACATGCTTGCCGCCCGCATGCTCCTAGCCACCATCAAGTCCAGCATCATCCCTCTCGACAACGAAAAGATTGACGGCGAGGCCTTCCTCGTGACAAACGACAGCCCCATCTACTTCTGGGACTTTGCGAGGGCCATCTGGCGCGCCGCCGGGTCGGACAAGGGCACCGACCACGTCTGGAAGATTCCCCGCGAGATCGGCGTCGTTCTGGGCTTCTGCTCCGAGGTCTTCTTCAGCATCATCGGCAAGCCGCCCATCTTCAAACGTCAGCGCAACATCTACAGCTGCATGACGCGCTACTACAACATCAGCAAGGCCAAGCGTCTGTTGGGTTACCGCCCCATCGTCAGCCTGGACTCAGGTATCAAGAGAGGTGTGCAGTGGTTCCTGGACCAGGAGAAGGCGGGTAAGGTCAGCGTCAAGGCGTGAGAGGCGACGATATGATGATGACGAGCGGTGATTTGCAATCTGACTATATCTCCCAAAAGAAAATGGTGTTTTTTGGTGTAAATATATATATACATAAACCCCTACCATAAAAGGGACTAATAAATGGCCTGCGGCCACGTCAAGAGCTAAAGACAACATGTTGGGGAAAAAACAAAACAAGCAATCATTAGCGACAGAGAGTATCATGAGGGAAACCTGCAGGGAAATGTTTTCCCGCTTTGATCGCATTAGCGAAACTATCTGGTTCTTTCACCTCGTTCGAGCTACAAAAACAAGGCTCTTGTCGCCTCGTACAGCCTTGAGCCCAAGGCAAAAACAGGCAACTTTTCCCCCTCACCCCCTCTCGCCTGTCGCCTTCTCGTTCCTCTCGAAGTCCTCAAAAATGGTAATCCGACATCCCCATTCCAACAAACAGAAGCGAAGCTATAATAGGTCTCGCACGCAAGCCAAGAAGAAATCAAGGCTCGGTCAACCCATGTGAATCAAACATCCAGCCAGTCCTGCCCATCGACAAGTCGATGGACCCTGAGGCCATACTCCAAACCAAACCGCCAAACTAAAGCCAAACCTCCCTCATCCCCAGCAGACGACCAATCGTGTCGTGAAAGAAGACCAACAGACTGCAAGAGTCCCTCGTTTCATGGTCTGATGCTTTACTCTCAGAGAAGCTAAGAAGTAAAGGGTTCGAAAAAAAGCTTTGAAAAGAACTCGAAAATTTCATTCATGCCGCCTTGTCGTGAGTAGAAGTAACCGAACAAAAGGGAAATCTTTTTGTTCCTTTTGATCAAAAAGGGTTAGGAACGCCGCCAACGATGCATGGATATGTGACTCTCAAAACCCAAATTGCAATCCCGATAGAATGCATATGAAGCAGTGCATGCGAATGGATAGCAGCACACTTCGTTGTGTGTATGTGTGCACAGCCTGCCACCTTTGTGACCTAACAGGGCTATGTATGTCCACCAACTCCCACACCACCGTTCTGCCGTCCCCAAGCAGCAGAGTTGCGCCATTCACGCTTCTGGGCGTCAGTTGGGCCCTCGGTATCAGAGTGCTCAGGCTGGTTGGCATATGGTGAGGGGTGACCGTTCTCGTCATGTGGCCGC